GAAGGACAATTGGGGGAGGGACAGGGAGGCAAGGCATTAAATGCACAAAAAAGTGTGGTATTATCTGTTGAAGATATTTTGTAGTTTTATCAACAGTATTACGGAGAAATGTTCACCTGTTGAAATATCCATTTTGTAAGACAAATAATAATGTGATTGAATATATGGAAGAAAATGAAATGATTTTTTTTAAATAAAAGGAAAAAAATGTGAGCAGGGACATAAAATGATGATAACTCACATGGTAATATCTTTTGCTGGACCAATATACAATAAATTCATACTGAGGGAAATAAATAAAAATGTGAACAAGAAAACGCCTTATTTTATTAAAAAAAAAAACATCAAAGCGAATTTGTAGATTGTCCTGAGATTAAAAAACTACACATATAAAATATACATAAATTATAACAATACTTGTCATAAATAAATCTCAGCAAGAGAGTAAATGTACCAAAATGCATGAGGGTTTAAAGATGAATTTTGTGGGCTAGCCAGTAGTATTGAGGTTAAGGAGCTAAATCACAGGGGGCCAGCTGCAAGGTTTTTGAGTAACAGATCTGGTGGCTTAAAAATCACATCAAGAGGGAACCAGCAGTTAGCGTAATGGCTATGTCGCTGGATTCCCACGTAGTTGACCATGGTTCGCATCCTGGACCCGGTGGCTTAAAACTCACGCCGGGCACATGTGCGTGCTTGCCCAAGATCCCGAGAGGAGAATGGAGGAGAAGGGATTGCAACATGACCATCCCCCCTGGGGGGTGATTTCTCGCTTTCTGTCTCTAATGCCTCTCTCTGTCTGGCGAGCGCATGCGCCTATAGCAAAAATCTCTCAAAAAAAATCACATTGAGTACATGTGCATGCATGCTGAAAAATTAGAGAGGAGGCTGGAGAGAGATTGCAGCCTGGTTTTTACCTCAGGGGGTGATTTTTTTCATTTTCTTGTCTTTGTCTCTCTCAAATGAGCACCCATGTACTATAACAAAAACTAAAAATAAAGTAATAAATAATATGGATTTCGTTGGGTGAGATATGTTGATCTGATGAGAATGGGTAATGTTGGAAATTGTGTATTAGATTCTCATCTATAAAAAAAAAAAGGAGAATCTATTTTGAACTTGATATTTATTTTTTATTTTTTATGTATTTATTTATTTATTCATTATCATCATAATCTTGTTTCTATTCCATTGAATCACATATAACTTTACAGTGCTGAACTTGATATTTAGAAATAACCATTAGGTTGAATGTATGGAAGACAAAATGATTTATATTAAACATAAATAATGCTTAATTATATCAATTTTTATTTAAAAAGTTCTTAGCTGAAGGAATGGCAAAAGTCCAGATACCAAACATGCAGAAATCACACAATGAAAAAATTTGTGGATGATTTTCACATTCCTGAATCAAAGTCCTAAGAATTCAAAAGACCTTGTCCAATCCCCTGCATCAGGACCATAATGTGGTAAATTATGGCAGCTAAATATAGAGGAGATTCCCAATATACTCTGTTTCTTAAATAATTATCTGAGGAAAGAAGACTGACTTTGGCTCCCATATTACCCTAAAGGGTAGGACACTCAAAAACTGTCTAGCTCCTTAGCTTCTAAAGAATTATAATCCTCAGAGAATTCAATAACAATACAGCAATTTATTTAATGAGACACAATGGGAATTCCATCCTAGTATACCCTCATATTGTAAGAAGTTACTGTTATTGGACTTTTACTCCAATTTGGCTTCATCATTGACAGGATACACCTATTGTGTTTTTCAGAGATCCCATGTGCAACTCTGTCTCTCTGCTCTTCCTGGGGACAGACCTCTTTTTAAACAATCGTTCATGGTAAGAACAGAACCAGGGAAAATGAACTCTTCAGAGATCTTGAGAAGTCAGAGCATCCTTGTACATGCAGAAGAATAAGCTTTGGAGAGTGGGATTGCTTTTAAAAGCATAACTTCCCAAGGTTTCTAACAGGCAAAAAGGTAAAAGTTCAATAAGACCAAGATCTTTCCATTTCTAGATCCTGGACTTGGAAATAGCTGCAGCCTAATGTTTCTTATTTTTTTTTAAGTTCCTTTTTTGGTTGTTTGTCTTGGTTTTGTTTGGGGCTTGAACTGTGGTTAACCATGTGAGTTTCCAGCACTTTAACCACTATGCTACCTTCTGGTCCCTAATCTTTTTTTTTTTTTTTTTGAAGAGGTTCTTGCTATAGGGTGCATGTGCTTACCAGAGAGAGATAGAGAGACAGAAAGCAAGAAATCATCCCCTGGGGGCATGGCCATGCTGCAATTCCATTCTCCGCACCCGGCATGAGTTTAAGCCACTGGTTCCGAGACTCGAACTACATGGGAGTCCAGCGACATAGCCATTATGCCAAATGCTGGTCCCCCTAACATTTATTTATTTATTTATTTATTTATTTATTTTTCCATTTCATTTTATTTTATACATTCAATCACATTATTATTTGTCTTACAATGTGGATATTTCAACAGGTGAACATTTCTCCCTAGTACAGTTGATAAAAATACAAAATATCTTCAACAGATAATACCACACCCCTCTGTGCCCCAAACATTTAATATAGTTTCTCTGCTATGGTTTTTTATTCAGTACCATCAGCTGTCCTTTTTGTTTCGCTTGTCCCTCCTTTGTATCCTCCACACTCGCTTCAGCATTTCTTTCTGTATCCTTGATCCTTTCTTCCATTACTAATGACTTTCCTTTAAAGTCATGTAATTATGCATTTATTCTTGCATTCACTTCTCCATTCACTGAGGCAATAACAACCAGGAATTATTCTATGCTGAACATCAACTGTGTTGTGAAATAAAGGAAGGGATAAGACAAGGAGTAGACAAAAACAAAACAAAAAATCAAATAAATATAATACTCCATGATAGGCAACATAATGTAGACTGAATGCAATGAAGAATATTCAGCTTTTCTTAGGGGCAGTTATTTGAGAGGAAGAAACACAAGAAAAGAGGTTGTCTGAATTTTGAGGGGGATGAATCTTGTAAAAGGAGTTGGAGTTTTCAAGGTAAGTGTCCTCTAGGTAGGGGCCAGCAGATGGCATAGTGGTTAAGGCACTGTACTAGACTCCCACATGGTCAATTGTAGTTTTAATCCTGAATCTGGCAGCTTGTAACTCATGCCAGGCATGTGTACCCAGAATTCCAGGAGGAGAATAGAATTGAAGGGACTGCAGTGCGGCCATCCGCTGTATATGGTGATATCTTACTTTCCCTCTTACTGTCTCTCTCTCTCTCTCTCTGTCTCTCTGGTGAGTGGACATGCCCTATGGAAAAAACCTTAAGAAAAGTCCTTTAGGCAGAAGGAATTGGGGTGCAAACATGCTGAGTAATAAACAGTGAATGAAGCCAGACATGACACAATGCATTTGCTGATGCCATTCTTATAAAATACCCATTGGGAAGTTGGCAAAATGCACATTCTAATTCAGTAGATGCAACCAGATGTCCTGCATGAGTAACAAACTTTCCAGCAATGCAGATG